GTCAGTAAGCTAACTTACACTGTGGCCACAGAAAAGCCTTCTCTGGTAAAAAAAAAAAAAAAACTTTTACATCAGTCATCATTTCACTTCTGCTTCAGTATGCCCACGCATGTCCCGATGAGACTGGGTGCATCCCAGTGATGTGGCCGTAGATGCCCCTGTATGTCCAAAGACTCAGCTATTTCTTCCAGTCCCTTTTATTTTCTTTACTGTCCATGTGAATTTTAAAGATTTGTCCTTTTTGACATGTCTTTTGTCAATTTAAACACATTTAGCAAAAAGTCAAGGTTAAAAATTTTTTGCTTGGCGATAACTGCACGTCTTATGCTTTCATATTTGGGCAGGTGTCCAGTAAACAAACACCTCTGACCACATCCAGCTTTAGCATCACAGCTTGAAATGAGCATCCTGCCAAAAGCTCTGTTGTTCACCACGAACTTGCACCGTGCGTGTTAAGTCTTTCCTGTGCACCACCAGAGAAGGCTTTTCTGTGGCCACAGTGTAAGTTAGCTTACTGACCAAAAAGGCCAATTGATTGTTGGCTCTTCTCCACTAATGAATGTACTCAAATAGTTTATTGTGGTGATGGGTGCTCTCAAATGACTTGGGCCTAGGCTGTTTGCAAAATATTGTAACTTTTCTTCCAACAATAGTTTTTAAAAGTTACATAAATAAAAACTTAGAAACTTCTATATGAAGTTTGATCAGTCACTTTTATACATAGTAATTATTATTTCTGTATAAGTTCATTTATGTGGTTTTATTCCATTTATTAGAAAGTATTTTTTCTGTCCTTTTGCAATTCCACATAGCACAAACAAGTACACGTGCCCAGCAAATCCCCAATAAGTTTACCATCACGACTATAGCAAAGTAAGCATATGTTCAACATTGAGAAAGAAATTGGAGTTTGAACAGTATTTCTTTATCTAAGTAACCGTTTTAACTCAACATAGAGGACTCATTTTAGACTTTTCTTCTTTAAGAATCCTTTCCACATTCAGTTGGTTTAAGGACCTTTATATATGATAATAAAACTCTCCATGTGCTTAGCTTTATCATGGTATTTATTTCAACAATCTTCTTGTAGGTATGTCTTGTGACTTCTCCGTTGGCTGTGAGTTGCGATTTGAACTAAGTGAAATAGGTAGGATATCCAAATGCTCTTTTTTATCCTATTCCTATCCCCTTTACTCAATTTTGTATTTAAGAGAAAAATAATCTCTATTCAATTGAAAACTGCATATATAAAAATAACTCTTCATGAAACTGTGATTCAGGTTTTCCCCATAAAAAGCCTGCATTTACACATTTATTCATTTCCTTTTGAAAACCAAATAGTTGTTAAAATGTGGTTGCAAGAAAATACCAGCCTATACCGCCTCTATATAGATCTATTTTTACTATATAAAATAGTTAATAGAAAATGTTTTCTCTGCTTTCTGCTCTTAGTGTTGAATAAAAAAAAAGAAAATGTTTTCTCTTAAATACAAAATTGAGTAAAGGGGATAGGAATCGGATAAAAAAGAGCACTTGAATATAGTTAATAGAAAATGTTGGTTAGCTGAAAAGAATCTTGGTATGTCAGAAAATGACATATGTTTTTCAATTTGTTTTATATTCGCCTATCTTGTTTAATTTTGAAATTGTTTTATACTTATTCATTTTCTGTCACCTAAACTAAAAAGCAATTTCCAGGCAAGTGTGGTGGCTCACACCTATAATCTCAGCACTTTGGGAGGCTGAGGCAGGAGGATCACCTGAGGTCAGGATGAGACCAGCCTGACCAACATGGTGAAACCCCTTCTCTACTAAAAATACAAAAAAATTAGCTGGGAGTAGTGGAACATGCCTGTAATCCCAGTTACTCTGGAGGCTGAGACAGGAGAATTGCTTGAACCTGAGAAGCAGAGGTTGCAGTGAGCTGAGATCATGCCATTGTACTCCTGCCTGGGCAACAAGAGCGAAACCTCATCTCAAAAAAAAAAGGTAATTTTCATGTGGGCAAAAACTTTCTTTTGGATTGTTTACTTTGACATTCTCAAGGCCTAGAAAAGTGTGTAGCAAATAGCATTTGCTAAAGAAAACGTTGAATAAATTTATGTCAAACTTTAGCACATCACCACACGAAAGTGGTTTTCCTTTCTTATATTTCAGAGTTTTGGGATGAATAACTGGTTTTTGTTAAAATTTTATAATCTGTTCATCTTATATTGCTTTAAATGATGTCTGATGTTGATATTTTAAATTAATAAATATGAATAAAATATATATTTAATCTTGCTCACTGGTATCAGCTCCTATTATTTACTTATTTTTATGTACACTGGGGTATATATTTAAGTTTCTAATTCTTCTGCATATCACGTATATATGATAGAAATTTAATTTCATATTTCTATGTTGAAATTTAAAATTTCTCTGGACTAATTTTTTTTAACTTAAAGGCCAGTGTGATAGTAACCCAGAAATAATTATTGAATGGGAGCTAATTTCTCACTTTATCTGCAATGTTACCTTATGTTTTTAATCTATGCACATGACTTTTTTTGTCTTTTTCCTTTCTCAGTTTGTCTGTGTTCACATGTTGCTTTGTCTTTATGAATGTGGTTTTAACATATGTCTTCACATCTAGTAGAACAAGGCTCCCACATTTTCTTCACCTTCAATAGTGATTTTACTAGTCTTGACTTATGTAGTTTAATGTACATTTAGAATTCTGCTTTGTAAGTAACACAATAAAACCTGAGGTATTAATTGGAATTAAATTGAATCTCTAAAATATTAAGGATTTTAGAATTTGGCATCATTTAAATGCATCATTTTCAAGTCCTAAAATGTTATTAAACGTAATGGAAAAAACACAACTACTTTTGCACCAACCTAACATTTATCAAACAATGGTGGTCCCATCTCTTTTACCAAATTAGGAACAATATTTTGTGTGGTGATAAGGTGGAAATACTGTGGTTTGTGTTATGTTTTTCCACAGGAAGATGAGATTATAATATTTGTCATATCTTTCTCAAAGATAAAAATTTACTGAGTATCTCTACTTTCAATTCGAGATCAGGAACTCGGGACATGTCTAAACTTTCTAGTTTTACAGAAGGCTTTTATCCACAAGAATCGAGATCATCCCTTTCTGAGCAGGTGTGTGTATGTGTGTACATGTGTGTGTTTATTATTCAAGATATGAGGAACTATATTTCAATTCAAAAAACTAAAATATTTACACTATAAGGTAATCCTAATTGTTTCTTAGGTGCTTGAATAGAACTCCTGAGATGGAGAATGTTTATCATTTCTGGTGTATGTTCTATCACCGTATCTGATGATAGGTAATTAGGATATACTTAGTGAAGAATCAGAAGTTGTAATGTTACCATAAAAAGAAGCTTTGTCTCTAAGAAATGAATCTACGTTTAGGATTAAAAGAATTGAGTTTCAATTTGAATTCTCAAATTTACGAGTTTTCTGATGTTTTAGGGGGCAACCTTTGATACACATCTTTACATGCAAGGTGAAACAAGTTATATCTGTGCTTTCCAACTATCATAATTAAATGTGAAATAGCTTTTATTTCTTAAATCTAAGCAGTATGCATATTCATTAAATAGTTATTTTTTCTGGAAGCTCTGCTATGCATTACTAAGATGTTACTACATAAACATGTGAGATTAGTTTTGTTAATGATGATGGTGACAATAATTTGTTGTTGATGAAGATAATATATGGGCATGTTGGATTAAAATGCACTAGAAAAAGACACTCAGCAAAAAGGCAATAGCTTACCTGAGTTTAGCTTGCAGAAAACTAAATTATCACCAAATAAAATAAACAAGTAAAAACACTTGATCTTAGCTAAAAGGCCAAAAAGCAATAAACAACTATAAAGAGAAAACTATGTGTATTGTTATCTAATATCAGTAATATGAAATATTTGCATTAAATATCTCAATGTAGGTGAATTAAAATAGTCATTATATTGTTATGACATTTTGAAATAATTGGCAATTATTTTACAACCAAGAGAAATGTATAAAATTAATTTTGCTTGGCTTTATGTGAATTGCCATTCCATTCTTTCCTTAGAGACATGCACAGGGGAAAAGTTTCTGCATTTTACTTTTCTATTCAAAATATTGTATCTCACCACAAAGAAAGAAAACAAAACACCCAAGCTCAATTTTATTTTATTCAGGAATCCTTTGTGGATTGAAGACTTTAGATTCTTCTCTGAGGTAGAATTATATGATGGGGTGGATTCGTGGTCGGAGGCCTCGTCACAGCTTGGGTATGTTTTTTCCACATAAGTGTGTAGTTTTGATTTTATACAATTTTAAGATACTGAGAATTTTATACAAGCATATAAGGTATAGGGAAGCAATTTACTCTGATTCTTTTCATGTTCTATTTATGTTGATTTCATGTTATGTTCATATTGTATTTTAAATCAAGTCTTCAAAAACTTTAAAAAATTTTTTTCCTTTATTTTATTAACTACACTATGGTAAAGTCACTCACAATGTGGGACAGCTTGAAATAGAGGAAGAGATGTGGAGTCAGACTTGAATTTTATGCAAACTTTGACCACCCTCTACATTTGAAGTGTAGTCAATTACAACCTCTATGTAGTTTTGTTCCTTTTTCTGTCACATACAGGCATGAAACATTCCATATTTATCTTAGTAGATTTGTGTGATATTCAAATCAAGTGACATGCATTTTGAAGTGCTTCTTATCTTAAAGGTGTTTATTAATTTATAACTTATTCACAGTTGGTAACATATTAAATAAGCTATATGATTTTGGTCATCTCTAACATTCAATTTCTCCATCCGTAAAGTGATACCTATGCTCTTTACTCCATATGTTTAATAACTGAGTTAGATATTACATTTGCAAACAATGTCTAATTTTAGCTATAAAAGATACTTTATATTATCATTCACTTTATAAAAGGCTTTTGTACAACAAACTGCTGTGACACAAGTTTGCCTATGTAACAAACCTTCACATGCATGCCTGAACCTAAAAGTTTTTAAAAAGTCTTCTAAGTAAATATTAATCATCAGTAAATAATTAGTATTTCAAGAAAGCAAAATGATTCTTCAGGTATTTTGTTCAGATGCAAGATTATCTGTCCTTGTTCTAAAGCTCTAGATCCTACTATTTTCGTCTGTGTACATCCTTCACTATAAAGAAAATTAGACACTCTAGTATTTACTCAAAGTTTACTAAATGATTGATGTCATTGATGCTAAGTTCATCATATTTTATTTTTAAAATACCCATAGTTGATTGTAATAATATCCTCTTCTTTTTGATTTCTTTATTCTTTTGCAAGTTAGGAAACCGGGATGCAAAAGCTAAGTTATTTGTGAAGTTATCAAGTTTGTATATATGGATCTGTGATTTAAATACATGTCTTTCTCCCTACATCTGTCTTTTTACTGTATCAAGTCTCTTTCTTGTAATGTTATGTTTCATGATACATTACGAATTAACTAATTTTAATAGTATATAGGATTTTTCTAAGGATACTTTCCCAAGGAATAAATATAATTTTATTTATATAGTAAAGTGTAAACATAATATGTAGTAATATAAAACAAAAGTAAGTTCACGTTGTACTTTTAAAAAGATACTCATGGGAAGTACATCGATGGAAACAGCAAGTTGAATTTTTAAAATTTACGCCCCAAATGGCAGAAAGGCCTTGACTCATATATATAAACCTGAATTCTTTTTCTCTAGAGATGAGTGAATTTCATAATTATAACTTGGAGCTAACAAAAAGTGATTTTTCAACACGACGGCAAAAGCAAAGATGTCCAGTAATCAAAAGCAAATGTAGAGAAAACTGTAAGTCTTATGATCCATTTGTCTTCTCTCAGTATATTGAAAGGAACCTTGGAAACTATGTGATTAAATCAATGACAATCATTCAGTTTACCTTCATGAGGAAAGTAGGAATAACATGAACTCTAATATAATATTAAAATATGTAATAAAATTATGGTATTAAAAGCTACTGAGTTTGGAATCTTTTCATGCCCTAAAAATGATGAACTTATTTATCAGGAGTTTCTAAGAGAACACTGAAAAAAAAAAAAAACTAAATAGAAATCAGAAACAAAAGAGAAAAGAGATTTTGAAAATATTCCAGACATATGTTTTTAAACACTATAGAAGTGATAACTGGATTATTATTTACAGAATTGTTTCTGAGTGCAGTGAAGAAGATATACTCTCCAATGTCTTTTTTCAAGGCTGAATATTATTGATAATAGACCATTATAGTTTGTATGAAAAAGAAGAAAACAGATGACCCTCACCTATTAATTTTGATTAAAAACTAAGAAATAAATTATTAACAAATAGCATACCTTTTCCAGAATTAATTTAGGAATGCAAAGTGCTGTATGCGATAATCCCTCTTTGGACTGAAATTTTCGACTGTTAACCAAAATTTAAAACACACATGCCCTTCCACTCAGCAATTATCATTGTGGGAATTTATCCCAGATCGGGACTCAAAAATATGCACAGATGGGTATGAAATGCGTCATTATTTCTAATAGCAAGACCCAAAAAACAATTTAAATATCCACTGGAAAAAAATTGAATCTCTGTCAAAAATTAGATTCTGTCCAGAGTTGTCAGTGAAATACAATGCAGCTATTTATAAATTTTGTATCCTTATATGCCATGATATGAACTAATCATCAGGATATTGTCTTAGGTAAAAAAATAATACATGGGATATTTTGTATATTATAGTTTCTTTAAAATGTATTTTTAATATGTAATTAAGGGGAATGGTATTTTTCATTTCTTTTTAGTTGACATGTAATAATTATATATATGTATGGGATACAGTGATATTTCCAAACAACTATACAATGTGTAATGACCAAATCAAGGTAATTGGTGTATCCATCACCTCAAACATTTATCATTTCTTTTTCTACTCTCTACTTCTATGACCTAAAAGTCTTTATCTCCCACATATGAGTGGCAACATGTGGTATTTAACTTTCCATGCCTGGTTTACTTAACATAATATGCTTCTGACTCATCCATGTTGGTGAAAATAAGAGAATTTCGTTCTTTTCACACTTTTTTTATGACTGAATGGTATTCCATTCTGTGTGTTTGTGTGTGTGTGTATATGTGTCTGTGTGTGTGTATATATGTCTGTGTGTGTGTGAATACACATCCATATATACATATATATGTATATATATACATCTGCACACATTTGGTTTAGCCATTCTTCTCTAATGGACACAGGTTAATTCCATATCTTGGCTATTGTGAATAATGCTGCAGTAAGCATGGCGATGCAGACATTGCTTCAATATACTGATTTCCTTTCCATTGGAGAAAGAGTGAGATTGCTGAATCATATGGTAGTTCTATTTTTAGTTTTTTAAGAGACCTCCATACTGTTTCCATAATGACTATACTAATTTACATTCCCACCAACATTATATAAACATTAGACTTTCCATGAATCCTCACTGTCATTTGTTATTTTTGTCTTTTTAATAATAGCTATTTTAACTAGGGTGAGATGATATCCATTGTGGTTTTGATTTTGGTCTTCTTGATGATGAATGATATTGAGCTTTTAAAAAATATATTTTGTGGCTATTTGTGTTGCTTCTGAGAAATATCTATTCAAATCCTTTGCCCATTTTCAAATTGGTTTTTGTTGTTGTTGCTGTTGCGGCTGCTGCTGCTATTGTTTGAATTCCTTGTATATTCTGGATATTGGTCTCTTGTCAGAGGAATAGTTTGCAAGTATTTTCTCTCATTCTACAAGTTGTCTCTTCACTCTGTGAATTGTTTCCTATGCAATAAAGAAGTGTTTTAGTTTGATACAGCCTCATTTGTTTCATTTTGCTTTTGTTGCCTGTACTTTTGAAGTCTTATCCATAAAATCTTTGCCTAATGTCCTATGGTGTTTCTCCTATCTCTTCTAGTAGTTTTATAGATTCAGTTCTTACATTTAAGTCATTAATTCATTTAGAGTTGATTTTTGTATATGGTGTGAGATGAGGGACTAATTTCATTCCTCTATGTGGACATCCAGTTTTTTCAGCACCATTTATTGAAGAGGCTGTTGTTTCCAGTGTATGTTAATGGGGCCTTTCTGGAAAAATCAGTTGGCTGTAAATACATGGATTTATTTCTGGGTTGTCTATTCTGTTTTATTGGTGTAAATGTCTATTTTTATACCAATGCCATACTGTTTTGGCTATTATAGTTTATTGAAGTCAGGTAATGTGCTGCCACCAGTTTTCTTCATTTTTGTTCAAGATTGCTTTGGCTCTTTAGTCTTTTGTGATACCATATAAATTTTAGGATTTTTTTTTCTATTTCCATAGAGAATGTTATGGGTATTGTGATATGAACTGCATTGAATCTGTAGATTGCTTTGAGTGGTGTGATTGACAATATTCTTTCAATCTATGAACATGAGATATCTTTCCTTTTTTTGCATCCTCTTCAGTTTTATTCATCAGTATTTTTCATTGTAGAGATCTTTCACTTTAATGTAATTAAATTTAACGTGATTAAATTTATTCCAGGATATTTTATTTTTTTTAGGTATTATAAGTAGGATTGATTTCTTGATTTCTTTTTCAACCAGTTTGTTATTCATGCATAGAAACACTACTGCTTTTTGTATGTAGATTTTTATATCCTGAAACTTCACTGAATTTACTTGTTCAAAAGCATGTTGTGTAATTTTCATACATCTGTGCAGTTTCCAAAGTTCCTCTTGTTATAAATTTCTAGTTTTATTCCATCGTTGTTAGAAAATTTACTTGATATAATATTGAATTTTGAAAATTTGTTGAGACTTGTCACCTAACATGTGGTCTATCTTGAGGAATGTTCCATGTGCTGATAAGAGGAATGTATATTTTGTAGCAGTTGGGCGAAATGTTCTCTACATTTAGTTAGGTTCATTAGGTCTAGATTATAGTTTTACTCTGATGTTTCTTTTCTGATTTTCTGCCTGAATGATCTGTCCATTGCTGAAAATGAGTGGTTGAGCTCCCCTACCCTTATTGTATTAGTCTATTTCTCCTTTCCGGTCTCTTAATATTTGCTTAATATATCTGAATGCTGTAGTATTGGGTGCATATGTATACTTATACATATATTGCTGAATTGACCCATTTATCATTATATAATCGTCTTCTTTGTCTCTTTCTTAGTGTTTTGACTTAATGTTTGTTTTATCTAAGTATAGCTATACCTGCTCTTTACTGGTTTTTATTTTCATGGAATATCTGTTTTCATCCCTATAGTGTCAGTCTATGTGTGTTTTTACAAGCAAAGTGAGTTTCTTGTAGGCAATATATAGTTTTGTTTTGTTTAATCCATTCACTTACTCTGTATCTTTTACCTGGAGAATTTAGCCCCGTTGTATTTAATGTTATTATTATTGGTAGAAGAGAACTTACTATTACCATTTTGTTCTTTGTTTTCTAGTGGTTTTCTAATTCTTCCTTTCTTCCTGTCTTTCTTTATGATTAAGTTACTTTCTCTGGCAGTGTATTTTAATTCCTTGATTTTCATTTCAGTGTATCTATTATAGGTTTTTGTTTTGTGGTTACCGTGAGACTTACATGGACATCTTATAGCTACAGCAATTATTTTATACCGATGACAACTTAACTTTGATCACAAAGAAAAGAAAAGAAAAAACTAAACAACTCTGCACTTTAATTCCATCTCCTCTCACATGTTTACTTATGTTTGTGTGGATTTACATCATTTTACATTGACTATCTCTTAACAAACTGTAGTCATTATTATTTTGATAGAGTTGTTTTTTGGTCTTCATACTAAAGATCTGAGTGGTTGATGCACCACAACTACAGTATTAGAATATTCTGAATTTGTCTGTGTACTTACTTTTATCAATGAGTTTTATACCTTCAAATGTTTTCTTATTGCACATTTGTGTTCTTTTTTTTCTGACTGAAAAACTCTCTTTAGCATATCCTGTAAGACAGATCTGCTGGTAACAATTTCACTAAACTTCTGTTTGCCTGAGAAATACTTTTTCTCTCCACCGTGTTGATAGTTTTGTTGGGTACAGTATCTCAGTTGGCATGTTTTTTCCCTCAGCTCTTTGAATATGTCACCCCACTTCCTCTTGGCTTGTAAAGTTGCTGCAAAGAAGTCTGCTAACAGATGTGTTGAAGCTTCTTTTTATTTTATTTTGCTTTGTAAATTTTGTTTCCTTTAAAATTCTCACTTTGTCTCAACCTTTGAACATTTAAATTTTATATGCCTCATAGTCATCTTATTTGGGTTGAATCTGCTTGATCATCTTCGACCTTCCTATATTTGGTGATTCATATCTTTCTCTGGGTTTGGAAAGCTTTCTGTTTGTCCACAGCCTCCCAGACCAGTGCTGTGCCAGGACTTGCCCAAGGGCCATGGTTGCTGTGGCCAGCAGCCACTGAAATTTTCTTGGGACTCAAGGCCACTTTAGTCAGCTGGTGATAAAGTGGGCTGAGACTAAGTTTCCTCCCGCCTGGGCAGTGGACTCCCCTCTGGCCCTTGATGGGTCAAAATGCTCCCCGTATGAGCACTGGTTTGAAATCAAGGGCCACGGGGTCTCTGTCTTTTGCTATGTTCCAATGCGGTGGGGCCAGTACTAAGTTCCAACACAAAGTCCCATGCTTTTATTTCCCTTTCCCAAGCAGGCAGTTTCTCTCTAAGCACTGCACTACCTGGGTTTGAAAGAGGAGTGGTTAGGCAAGGCAAGGCCATCCTTTCTTACCTCTTTAATGTGTTTTTTTCTTGTTATAATGCTAAAATCAGAGTACTGTGATAATTCACCAAAATTTCTTGAATTCTTCTGAAGGTACTTTTTCGCATGGATAGTTATTTAATTTGATGTTTCTGTGAGAATATAATCACTGAAGGGTTCTTCACAGCCACTTGCTCTTCTGTCATTTTCTTAATTGTTTTCTGGTATACATATTGTTCTGCATACCTACTGATTTTTTTCTCCTCTATTATTCTTTTGTTTATCTTTGTGGTTTGCTGGTTCTCTGTGGTGATAATGTTTGATTCCTTTCTCTTTCTTATTTGTGTATCTGCCCTACCAGTTTTATACTTTTGTATATTTTCATGATGATAGATATTATCCTTTCATTTCCAGATATAGGACTCCCTTAAGCATCTCTTGTGCGGCTAGTCTAGTGGTGGTGAATTCCTTCAGTTTTTGCTTGTCTGGAAAAGAGTATTTCTCCTTTATTTCTGAAGGATAGCTTTGCTTGATACAGTATTCTTGTTTGGCAAAAGGTTTTTTTGGCATTTTGAATATATCATTCCATGCTCTTCTGGCCTGCTGCTGGGGAAAGTAGGATTGTTGGCAGTGGTGGCAATGGGCCCCAAGCAAGTGGCTCTGGGAATCTGAGGGGCACATGCATGACTCTCTTTATGTTGAGGACACACTCCCTACTTGGTTGCATCACTTGTTCCCTGGACATAGGGCTCTGTATGGGCTTGATGCAAGGATCACACCTACCCCATTGACTGGGATCACCTGGTGTTACTATGCTGCAGTCCTCTCGGTGGATTTGGTGGAATGTCAGCAGGGCCCCAGGCACGTGAAGATGCAGAAGCTATTGGGCCCCAAGGATGTGAAGATGAAGGAACTACCAGGCCCCAGAGCAGGGTGTACTTTGGTGGTGGCTACACTCTCAAACTAGTGCAGTGCTGCAGCACCCTGTGTACCCAAGAAGGCAGGGGAGCCCAGTGTGAATTCCCACTCTGGAATAATGCAGTTATGTGGACTCCAGTCAACTCCCTATACTGGACTTGGGGCTAGTGAGGAATGCGGAGCTGTCCTATAGCTAGGATAGCAGGCATTTGTAATGGGAATGTGGACTTCTCAGGAGCTCCTGTTTACCTTTTGTCCTCAATGGAGAGTCCCTCTTGGCTCCAAACTGATCCTTGTCACCTGCTTCTCTTCCATTTCTATGCTATCACCCTGAGTGTCTGTGCCTCAGAGAGACTTGGTCGCTTTCTTGCTGAATTCCAGCATTCTCCCTTCAACACTCTATTCAATGTGTGGTTCTCTACTTGTTGTTTTGGTCCTTCTTTGTGGAAGTGAGTGCTGGGTGCCTGTAGTTAGCCATCTTGATGATGCTCCATCTTTCTTTGTTTATGTTTATTATTGTATCTGCATAGAAAATAATAAATCATAAGCATAATTTATTCTTGGGATGACTGGGGAACTTTAACAGAAGTATAGGAGGAAATATTACATTGTTGTACTCTTAATTTTTTATCATTTGCAAGCTATTCACATTCTGTTCTGGGAAAAAAAATCAAGGCAGGAGAAGGACCTATACTACCTTCTCATTAAAAAAGTAACTCTAATATTTATATTAAATATAAAGATACCCGAACCCTTTATGCTTCCTTTTCTGATCTGTCTCTTTTTTCTTTGACAGCATCTACACTTTTTTTCTGCTGTTTCATTGCTGTAGCTATGGGAATCCGTTTCATTGTTATGGTAACAATATGGACTGCCGTATTCCTAAATTGTAAGTGATAATAGAGAGGTAGATTGCAACATTGTTAATTTAACAATTATAATGTATTGCCTTTGTTATATTCAGAAACACAGAAACATAAACTGGAAATATTAAATTTACCTTTGTCACATTTTTGGTATTAGCCCAGAAATTCGTAAACTGTATTTGCTTATATTATAAGTTACTAACAATACAAACTTTTTAATATTTACGGTTATTTCAATAGCATTATTCAACCAAGAAGTTCAAGTTCCCTTGACCGGTAAGTGAATTTTTAAAATATTTTAGAATATTTAGAATTTTTAAAGTATTATATGTATTTACCTACACTATGGTGTAGGCATGTATTTGATGATGTAAAAAATAAGGAAAAAGTAATAATTAATTCTAGTCTGTAATGCACTATGGCTTCTGTTTTCCTTTTAACAGTGAGGGGATACTTGTAAAAGCAGAGGCTTTTTTTTTTTTTTTTTTTTTTTTTGAGATGGAGTCTCTCTCTCTGTCACCTAGGCTGGAGTGGAATGGGTGATCTCAGAACTCTGCCTCCCAGGTTCAAGAGCTTCTCATGCCTTAGCCTCCCAAGCCCCTGGACTGTAACCTCTACCTCCTGGGTTCAAGTGATTCTCATACCTCAGCTTCCTAAGTAACTGGGACTGCAGGCATGCGCCACCACACCCAGCTAATTTTTGTATTTTTGTAGAGGTGGGGTTTCACCATGTTGACTAGGCTGGTCTCAAACTCCTAACCTCAACTGTGTTGCCCGCCTAGAGCTCCCAAAGTGTTAAAATTACAGGCTTTAGACACCACACCCTCCCTGGCATCTCTCTATGAGTATGTAGAGATATGTCTCTGGTTATGACTGTAATAATTTAATAATCTGAAATTTTAGCATTGGAGTGAAAAAGACATTTAACTTGTTTAGATAAAATCTGCTATAATGTTCAGGTGTATGGTATTAATAATATATTCTCCCTTTCTAGAAAGTTACTGTGGCCCATGTCCTAAAAACTGGATATGTTATAGAAATAACTGCTACCAATTTTTTAATGAGAATAAAAACTGGTATGAGAGCCAGGCTTCTTGTATGTCTCAAAATGCCAGCCTTCTGAAAGTATACAGCAAAGCGGAACAGGTTGAGTATTTAATTTAATTTCCCATCCTATATTTAATCCTAACATCTGAGGCAACTCCCTGGAATATGAACCTGGAACATAAAAGAGACATTGTGACTTGGTTATTCTAATAACAACCCTAAATCTTTCTTCATAAAAATAACAAAGCACAGAAATTGCAGGCATCATGTATGTGTTGCCCAGATGGAAATTATGCTATTTAGGGGACAGAATGTATTTTTTTTTGCAAGTGTGAGAACAGATGAAACAGTTACGGTCTTGAATTTACTAAAATTAGGAACACTGATTTTACTTGGAGTTTATTTGTGGTTTCAAACAGGACTTTCTTAAACTGGTGAAGTCATATCACTGGATGGGACTAGTATACATTCCAACAAATGGATCTTGGCAGTGGGAAGATGGCACCATTCTCTCACCCAACCTGTAAGTTTCTGACCCAAGGGGTCTATAGTTTTGGATTTTTTTTTCCTAACCTTTCCCTGTAATCATTCTAATCACTCATTTCACATAATCTCAGGATATTTGCACATTTTAATAGATCTAGTAAAAAGTGCTTAGGCCCTAAATTTGGGAGAAAGTTATGTTAGTTGTAGAGCGGCCAACACAAATACTAGTGAGTAATATAAATTGTTTACTATATGCTAAGTACTATGGAAGGCAGGTCTAATATTGTGTTCATTTTACAGATAAAAAGACAGGAGGAGAGTTGTTAAGTATCACACATATTTCTTTCCGAATTTATTGCCAGATATGTTGAGATATAATTAACATTGCACATATATAAAGTATATAATTTGATAAGTCTCAAGAAAATATATATGCACAAAACCATTAAGAACAGCAATATAATTAACATATAAATTACCTGGAAAACATTCTCTAAACATGCACCTATGTGATTTCTCCTGTGACCCTGCCTACTTACCTCTTTTTCTTTCCAGTCAATTTTCTGTCACTTTAGATTAGTTTGCAATTCATAGAATTTAATATAAATGAAGTTCTTCAATATACATCATTTTTAATGTCTTATTTTCACTTAGCAAAGTTATCTTGAGATTCCTCTATCTCATTGCATGAGTAAAGAATTAATTTCTTTTTATCTCTTCATTTATTGATGTATATTTAGGTAATTCCCAGTTATTGATCATTATAAATCATGCTACTTGCTAATATTTGTGTACAAGCCTTTGTATCATATTAATGAAGTCTTTCTTTTCCTCAATATAAATTCCGAGAAACAAAATGGCTGAATCACATCATAAGTATATATTTAACTTTTTCAAAAGTTCCACACTGTTATCCAAAGTGGTGGTGATATTTTTCAAATTTACTTTCTCTCTAGCAGTGCATAAGAGAAAATCTGAGAGAGAAGTTGCTTCACATCCTAGTCAACACTTGTTTGATCAGCCTCTTAAATTTTATACTGGCTGGGTGCAGTGGCTCACGCCTATAATCCCAGCACTTTAGGAGGCTGAGGTGGATGGATCACCTGAGGTCAGGAGTTCGAGACCAGCCTGGCCATGGTGAAACCCCGTCTCTACTGAAAATACAAAAATTAGCCGAACATGGTGGCAGGCACCTGTAATCTCAGCTACTCAGGAGGCTGAGGCAGGAGAATCGCTTGAACCTGGGAGGCGGAGGTTGCAGTGAGCCAAGATCGCACCACTGCACTCCAGCCTGGGTGACAAAGCAAGACCCTGTTTCATAAATACATAAATAAATAAATAAATTTTAGACATACTAAACTATGTGTTTTGGTATATCACTGCAGTTTCAACTTGCATTTTACTAATGACTAATGATGTTAAGTAGCATTTTTTGTGCTTATTTGCCATTCAGGTAAAAATTTTCTTTTCACTGATTTCTGCTTTGATTTTTATTATTTACTGTCTTCTTACAGTAGGTTAAATTTCCTTTTTGAGTTTCTTATATTGAAAGCTGATATGTTGATTTGAAACATTTTTTCTTTTCTAATAAAAGCTTTTTATGTTATTAATATGTAGATAATTTGGCAACATCAATGTTTTGAGATGTTATTTTTTATTTTCATTCAGTTAAAAATGGTTTCTAAATTATCTTTTGCATTCTTTGATTCATTGATTATTTACATGTGTCATTTGGTTTTCAATATTTGTGAATTTTTCAGACATGTTTTTATTATTGATTTCTAATTTAATTTCATTTTCATTAGAGAATTATTTTGTATAATATAAAACTTAAATTTATAGACATCAGTTTTATGGACTGGACTACAGTGTGTTTTTAAAAATGTTTTACATGTATTTAATCAGAAATTGTGTTTTGCTGTTTTTCAATAGAATGGGTTTTTTTCTTTCTTTCTTTTTCGAGATGGATTCTCACTCTGTCACCCAAGCTGGAGTGCAATGGCATGATCTTGGTTCTCTGCAATCTCTGCCTTCTGGGTTCAAGCCATTCTCCTACCTCAGCTTCCTGAGTGACTGAGATTACAGGCGCCCACCACTGTATCAGGCTAATTTTTGTATTTTTGGTAAAGATGGGATTTCACCATGTTGACCAGGCTGGTTTCAAACTTCTGACCCTAGGTGATCTGCCCGCCTTGGCCTACCAAAGTGCTGGGATAACAGGTGTGAGCCACCATATCCAGCCAGAGTAGAGTATTTTATGAGTCAATTAAGTCAAGTTGGTTGAGAGTTGCTCAAGTCTTGTACCGTTTTTTATGATTTTCTGTATACTTGGTTGGTTGGTTGTTTTTTGATAGAGGTATCCGTTAAAATGCTCATGCTGAATAAAGAGACCCCCAAACAGGCTTTGTGTGAGTAACATGCCTGTTTATTCACCTGGGTGCAGGCAGGCTGAGGCCAAAAACGGCATCAGTGAAGGGCAGAGGGATAGGAGTTGGTTTTGTAGGTTTGGGGTGGGCTGTGGAAAGTTACAGTTAAAGAAGGTTTTCTGCAAGCTGGAAGGGGGTTGTAGGGTATGGAGTCATGAGGTTGACCAAGGTCAGATACAAAGTCCAATGCCTTATCATTTGAGGGGGGAATAAGGAACAATAGAGAACATCTAAAAGTTAAGTAGGGTTGATCATTTATTCCTCTTTTCATGGTCTTCTAGTTACTTTAGATTTTCCAGGAACTCATCTGGAGAGTCCATGCAGGTCACAGAGGTTAACATGGCATCCATGACACCATCAGTCAGGCTAAAAGACCATACAGTATCAATTACTTTAAAAAAAAGTCTGGGCACAGTGGCTCACACCTGTAATCCCAGGATTTTGAGAGGCTGAGGCGGGCAGATCACCTAAGGTCAGGAGTTTGAAACCAGCCTGGCCAACGTGACACAACCCCGTCTTTACTAAAAATACAAAAATTGGCCTGGTGTGGTGGTGGGTACCTGTAATCCCAGCTACTTAGGAGGCTGAGGCAGGAAAATGACTTGAACCCAGGAGGCAAATGTTGCAGTGAGCCAAGATCGTGCCACTGTACTCCAGCCTGGGCAACACAGTGAGACTCTGTCTCAAAAAAAAAACTACCAAAAGTCTTGATCTGTAATAATGGACATATGTATTTCTCCTTGCAGGTCAAACAAATTTTTGCCTTATATATTTTGAAGCTCTGTTTTCAGTTGCATAAATGTTTAGTATTGTTGCATACTCCTAATGAATTTATGAGTTTAATATTATGTAATGAGCACTTTAACTAATGATATTTTGTGTTTTGTAATGCTACTTTGTCTAGTATGAATATAGCCACTCTAGTTTCCTTTTGTTTAGTACTAGAGTGGTATATATTTTCAGCTTATATTAACAGTGAGTTTCTTGTAGACAGAATATAGTCGAATCTCACTTTTTAAATCTAATCTAACAATTTCTGCTTTTAAAATTGGGATGGATGTTTAGGACATTTCTATTAAATGTGATTAGGTACGCTTTAAGTTATCTTACTGTTTGTTATTTGTTCCATTTGGGTTTTTTTTTTCTATTTTCCTTTTCTTTAGTCTTTTAAAAATATTTTGTTTTATGCTAACATTTGTTATCATCATAGCTTAGTAAATATTTATATTTAGGCTGGGGCTGGTCATGGTGGCTCACACCCTGTAATCCCAGCACTTTGGGAGGGCGAGGTGGGTGGATCGCTTTAGGTCAGGAGTTCATGACCAGCCTGGTCAACATGGTGAAACACTGTCTCTACTAAAAATACAAAAATTAGTCAGACATGGTGGCACATGCCTGTAATCCCAGCTACTTGGGAAACTGAGACAGAAGAGTCACTTGAACCTGGGAGTCGGAGGTTGCAGTGAGCCAAGATTGAGCCACTGCACTCCAGCCTGGGCAACAGAGCAAGATTCTGTCTCCAAAAAAAAAAAAAAAAAAAAATAGTTTTCTCCCTATAGTGGCCAATTATTCAACTGTAGAACAGAGGTTATTACATTGTTCTTTTAAATAGGGATAGCGTCAGACCATAATCTTTTCATTTTTTGTCAATTTTACATTGAAGGGACATCCTCACTCTTTCTTTCTTTCCCATCTGCTATGAAAGAAAACACATGGCTGGGCGCGGTGGCTCAAGCCTGTAATCCCAGCACTTTGGGAGGCCGAGGCGGGTGGATCACGAGGTCAAGAGATCGAGACCATCCTGGTCAACATGGTGAAACCTCGTCTCTACTACAAATACAAAAATTCAGCTGGGCATGGTGGCGTGTGCCTATAATCCCAGCTACTCAGGAGGCTGAGGCAGGAGAATTGCCTGAACCCAGGAGGCGGAGGTTGCGGTGAGCCGAGATCGCGCCATTGCACTCCAGCCTGGGTAACAAGAGCAAAACTCCGTCTCAAAAAAAAAAAAAAAGAAAGAAAGAAAACACATTATATTAATTAAACAAGTTATATTAATCATATAATTCCAAAAGATTAAAGATGCTAGAGTAAAACACATATGTAGATGTAGAAATCTCTACATGGAATGCCTAACACATGCACAGAAACACACACATACTTATACACACTTGTGAATGTGTGTATATATGTATTAGAAGATTTTAAATTTTGCTTTCATTTCCTTACCAAGTAAAATTGCATATATCTGAAGAAAATGTTTTATTTTTCCACAAAACACAGTATCAAATTCTAAGTTGAATTGTGAATTTATTTCTAACATAAAATTTGTTTTAAAATAAACATTTTAAAGCTTTCATTTAACTTGGGTATACACATGAAGAGATTTTAGACTTCAGAAGTGATTAGTTTCCAATGTATAAACTAGTGGCATAAAAATGGTGGCACACTATTTACAATAGAAAGGAATTTTTACTTTTATTATCTGAGTTGGCTATATTTTGTTCATGAATTAGGACCAGGTGTGGTCCTAAAATCTCCTAAAATGGTATTAAATTCCTATATTTGAAGTTCAGTAGATATTATTCATTTTTATTTTCCTGCATTAATAAAATCATTAATGTAACATATAATTGTCTGTTCTCTAGATTAACAATAATTGAAATGCAGAAGGGAGACTGTGCAGTCTATGCCTCAAGCTTTAAAGGCTACACAGAAAACTGTTCAAGTCCAAATACCTACATCTGCATGCAGAAGACTGTGTAGGGATGATCAATCATCTCAGTAAAAGCCAGGAACAATGAAGGGATTATACCGGTGGAAACACTGCCAACTGAGACTAAAGGAAACGAAGAAAACAGGACAAAATGACAAAAGACTGTCAGACTTCTTAGACTCCACCGGACCAGACCATAGACCAATTCCAATGCAAACGTGCATGATTCTCCAAGACAAAAGAGTAAAGATCCCCAAGGCAATTCCTCCAGGCTGCTTCTCCCACCATAAGCCCCGAGTGGATGAGCTGGGGGAGGAGTGCTATTTTAATTTCTAAAGGTAGGACCAACACCCAGAGGATTAGTGAAGGAAGAGAAACCCAGCAGATCCCTGAGAGAGCAACTCCACCTCCACAGGAAATTGCCTTATGGGTAGGGCCACGGCACAGAGACACAGCATGGGCAATGCGTTGCCTGCCTGTGGGGGTCATGCTGCCACTTTTAATGGGTCCCTTCCTGACCCTGTCCCTGTCACTTTTAATGGGTCCCTTCCTAACCCTGGGTCAGGAAGGTGAGACTGCTGCCCCAGTGGGCCATGATTATGTTAAGACTTTATTCTCCAGGCTTAGGATCTTAGGAAGTTTCCTTTGCTAGGATTTGGACTTGCTTGAGTCCTATTACTGTTTCTCTTTCTCTACTTCTTCTTTTTGGCATAGTAATGTCTATCCTATGCTTGTCCTACTATTGTATTTTGGAAGCACAGAACTTCTTTGGTTTCACAGGTTCACAGTTAGGGAGGAATTTTGCCTCCGAATAAATAGCATCTTGAGTCTCATGTGTATCTTGTTTGATGATATTTAGATAAGACTGTAACTGGGAGAGCATAGCCAGCTCCCAGAAATTGGAGATTCTTGGCCTCGCTAACCTGGAAGAATGGGGAAAGGGTCCCCGGTGAGCTTACTGTTCAAATAAATATTGTGGACTCAAAGAGTTTTGCGGAAGAGTGATTTATTAGACAGGGAGAGAGAGAAAGAGAGAGAAAGAGAGAGAGATAGCTCCCACACTGTTGTGGGAGGGGAGACCAGAGTGGGAAATCCCTATAGGTAGGAGGAGCTGGAGTTTTAACCCTTGAGTTATTCCCTCCCCATTCATGTTCTTGTCTAATGAGAGGACTTCTTTCAAATTTCCTCTGGAGTGATTGAGCTTTGATTCTGATAACAGATTGGCTACTTGCTTGAGTTACAGAGCCCCCTCCTCCCAGAGCTTTCAGCGGGCTTTTGGGACAAAAGAGCCACACAAAGAGCCCCACCTGGCTTTCCCTACCTGACCCCCATGGGGAAAGCCAGACAAATAACTTTACATTTGAAACCCCTCTGGTTCCTGGAGGAGGTGCTCAAAGAAAATCCCCTGCGTTTGAAACCACACCCCTTGTGGACTTGGGAAGAGAAGTCCCTCAAGACTCTGGACTTCAGACTTTACAATCGATTCTGCAAAAAGTTAAGACTTGGGGTTATTAGGATGGAATAAATGCAAGCAAAAAGAACATAAAATTTGCCAGGGTCAGAATGTCATGGAGAGAATGTTTCTATTCCCCTAAAATTCATATTTGAAATTCTATCTCCCAACGGTATGGTATTAGGAGGGTGCTTTGGGGAGGTAATTTAGGTGTGAAAGTTAATTATAAGAATTGGGTAATTCTTTTCATACCTAAATAAAACAGAGTGGAGAAGCCAGCGGGAAAAGCATTCGGGGTATAAAGCATTGCTCCAAAAATGTAATTATCTACAAGCCTGACTGCTGAGACTGCCTATTGTAACCAAAAACCAGTTTTACCTATAGCTTCTGAAATAACTTACTGCGACTCCAGGACTAATGTTTGCTCATGTTGTCACTCAACAGTTGGAGTTTTCCAGCTTCCCAAATCCTTACAAGTGTCAATGAACTTTCTCAAAAAGCAATGTATAAAACCCCTAACCTTCCCTTTGTTCTTTGGATATACCGAAGACCACGTGTATACACTGAACTGCAATTGTTTCTTCCCGAATAAAACATTACACTTAGAGATTTGTGTCTACATTTTTATTTTTACTTTTACATACTGTTTTAGGAGTTAAGAAGAAATTATTCTCAGCAGATAGAGAGTAAAAGGGGTCCTTGGGAAGTTTTAAAGCAGCTCCAGAAACTTGCAGGGAAGCTTTGATATGCAAATACAGGCCATTAGAAACTGGGCCCACCCAAGCATGCTCATTCCTGCCCTATTCTCTTCGCCCTCACATATGCCTGGCAACATGGCCGCCCCCACATATCCCACTGGTGTAGAACATCATGGCGTCCTGTATTTTTGCATATTAAAAGGCCAGGGTGGGAGGGCCAGGTTCTTCACGGGCTACATGAGTGCCATACCTGGTCAAACCAATCCCCTGAGCCCTATGCAAATCAGACATCACCTCCTGCAGCCTCCTCATAAGCAGCGACCATTAAATTCTGTCCTTCCATTGTTTCTGTTAAGAAGTTAGGTTACTGGCCAGGCACAGTGGCTCACACCTATAATCTCAGCACTCTGGGAGGCCAAGGTGGGCGCATCACCTGAGGTCAGGAGTTTGAGACCAGCCTTGCCAATATGGTAAAACCTGGTCTCTGCTAAAAATACAAAAAATAAAAATTAGCTGGGTGTGGTGGGTGGGTGCTTGTAATCCCAGCTGGGAAGCGGAGGTTGCAGTGAGCTGAGATCATGCTGGTGCACTCCAGTCTGGGTGACAGAGCAAGACGCCATCTAAAAAAAAAAAAAAAAAGAAGTTAGATTTCTAAATTATTTTGTTTTTCTCTTCCCGTGGTTAATATTAAAATTGAATTTTCATCTTCGTTTTCCATAAAACTATACCTTGCTATGATTTTTCTGTTTATCCTGTCCCATGTATTCTGGGTTTATTTTTATTGTTGTTTCCACATTTTCTCCTCACCCCATGACTTCAATTCCTGGTAAATTTTACTGCTGGGTATATAACACATTTCATTCACCTATTTATCTGTTTTTATTTTTCTACGTTATTTTGTCTCCGTGTGATATGGTTTGATTTTTGTCCTCTCCAAATCTCATGTTGAAATGTGATCCCTAGTGTAGAAGATGGGGCCTGGTGGGAGGTGCTTTGGTCCCTTATGATCCCTTATGAATGGCTTGGTGCCCTTCCCATGGCAATGAGTGAGTTCTCTCTCTGTTAGCTCACATGAGAGATGGTTGTTTAAAAGAGCCTGGTATCTCTCTTCCTCCCTCTCTTGTTCCCTTGCTCAATAGATGCTTTCCAAAGTCACATGACTCCAAGTTAATTTTTAAAAAGAAAGCAGGTGCAAATATGCCGTCAATTCATTTGGAAATATGCTCTCTTGCACTTTTCAGATGGCGCCAAGTTAAGATCTTTGCAGGTGTGGCAAAGGGGTTTTGTATGACTGCTTTTAAGAATAAATTCTACAGTAAGAAAGAGGAACTAGAAACAATAAAGTGATTTAAACATTAGAAGCCAGATGTAGTTATTTGATTTTTAAAAGAATAAAATGTGAAAATTATAATTAAACTGATTAAATTAACTATATAATTTATGAATAATATTCCTCAACCCCTGAAGTTTTCTGCTTAAAGCACAATCATAGCTCACTGTAGCCTCCAACTCTTGGGCTCAAGACCCTCCAGCCTCAGTCTCTAGAGTGACTGTGACTACAGGTTCACACCACCACACCCATCTAATTTTTAAATTATACTTTGTTGAGATGGGGTCTCACTATGTTGCCCAGGCTGGTCTTGAACTCCTGCTCTCAAGCGATCCTCCTGCTTTGGCGTTCAAAGTGCCGCGATTACAGATATGAGCCACTGCCTGGCCTAATACTTCTTCTTATTCCTGTGTTTATAGTAGACCATTTGGCTTACGATACACAAGTCAAATATTTTTCATGGAAATTATGCTAGTATTATAAAACAAGTAGTTTTTAAATTCATTTTTAGAACAGTATGTCACCCTAATTAAGTGAAAAAAATTTTTTTTGCAAGTCTCGTAATTTTTTTCTATTATATGTCAGGGGCCCAGATAAAGTTATCTTCTACTTTAATTTTCTTTCAAGGAAATAAGGAGGCGAGGTGACTATTTTGATGAAGGAATTAGAGGAATTCATAGTTTTGGTAACACTGAGTTACCCTAGCCCTGTAATCTATGGAAAATTTAGTTCTTCCCTCGAGATATTTTTATTTTAATGCTTTAATATCTGAATAAATACAGCATCCAAGATTGGCAAGTATCTTGAGTCTCGAGGGTGTATCAGCCATGTATTTAAGGCTCCTATCTTCTCCAGTTTTATCACTATTGTTCTTCATGAATAGTAAAATCTCCACTGATTTTTCAGTCCCAAAGCCATGACCTCGGCCAAGGGTCAGAATTGGTTTTGCAGCTTTCAGCCATTTCCAGAATCAATCACCATTGCCAGATGTGACTATATTACAGATCTCCAGTGCCAGGCACTACTCCTGTGATAAATGATTTCACCGACTGCTGTTTGCTGGTTTGTTTGATTATAGCTCCTTCTGGCTAACCTTTGTTCCCTTAAATACAGAGAACTTTGGGAACTTTGGGCAGTTGGCTTTTTTTTTTTTTCTTTTTTAGATTTTTTTTTTCTTTTACCTTGCTTTATATTCCTGAATTTTGTTGTAGAATTAGCAAATGGCTTGTAGGAAATGTGAAGATTTGAACACTGTTTTGTACTGCTACAATAGAATACCAAAGACCAGGTAATTTATAATGAACAGAATGTATTTGCTTACATTTCTAGAGGCTGATAAGGGGCCAGCGTCTAGTGAGGTTCTTCTTGCTGCACTGTCAAATGGCAGAAGGTGAGACAGGGAGAGAGAGAACCCACTCCGGAAAGTCATTTTTTAAAGGCACTAAACTCACACATAAAGGCAGAACTCTTATGGGCCTTAGAGGCCCCACCTCCCAATACCGTTATATTTGCAATAAAATTTTAACCTGAGTTTTAGAGGGGACAAACATTCAAACTGTAGTAAAATCCTTCAAATATTTAGTATTGTCACCCCAGTCCACATAACCACTCAAAAAATTGCTAGTTTCACTTTCTGCAAACATTGTTTCTCTTTCTTGGCCAGACTCTGATCCATGAAAAAAGAAAAATAACAAAAGTAGCAGATTGTTAATTTGTTCTCCCTACTCTGGAATTAAAGTCATTTGGTTGTAATTCCATAGATCTGTGATGCCTTAAAAATGCGTTTT